CCTTTCTTCTGTGGCCTGAATTATATTTAGTTTAATTTCATGATTGTTATTGAAAACATTTTTTTAATACAGGGGTAGGGGGGATTCAAAGGAGATCAGCCACATTTGTTATTCTTTTAACTATTCTTATATCCACAACTTACAAATCTTGATAATGTACCATAACCTGCAGCTAATCATTTTCAGCAAGGGTCCCCCAGGACACTAACAATTATTTTTAGGGTTCCAATAGAGTAGTGTCACAGATCTGCAGCTTTAATGCAGATCTGTCTCTTTTGTTGCCAAAGGCCAACAGGCATGCTGGTACATGTAGTTGCATGACTTTACCTTGTAGGATTCTGCTGTTACCTGTTATCACACTAGACTTGTGTTCAAGACTGATTAACCACCTGTTGCTGATTCAATTAGCTACACACCCAGCCCATCTCCTTTTCTTTCTACACTTGTCCCATTACCTGTTCCTGGTGCTAGAGCCCCTGGCAGGTTCCAAGAAGATTTCTAGTGGTGGAAACACCTAGGGCACCCCCATTCCTATTGGAGAAGATTCTTAGTGTTCTCCAGTGTTTCCTAGTGGAGATGATTCCTAGTATATCCCTAATGTTCCCTAGTTAAGATTCCTAGGGTACCCCCAGCATATCTCTCGTGGAGAAGATTCCTAGTGTCCCCCCAGTGTTTTTCTAGTGGAGAAGATTCCTAGTGTCCTACAATGTTTCATAGCAGAGAATATTCCTAGCAATACCCCTAGTCTTTCTCTAATGGAGAAGATTCCTAGCGTACCCCCATGGGTTTTAGTGGAGAAGATTCCTAGTGTTTCTCTAGTGGAGAACATTCCTAGTGCCCCATAATATTTCCTAGAGGAGAAGATTCTTGGTGTACCCCCAGTGTTTCTCTTGTGGAGATGATTCTTACTGTACCCCAAGTGTTTCTCTAGCAGAGAAGATTCCTAGTGTACCCCCAGTGATTTTCTAGTGGAGAAGATTTCTAGTGTCCCCCAATGTTTCATAGCGGAGAATATTCCTAGCAATATCCCCAGTGTTCCTCTAGTGGAGAAGATTCCTAGCGTACCCCCATGGGTTTTAGTGGAGAAGATTCCTAGTGTTTCTCTAGTGGAGAACATTCCTAGTGCCCCAAAATATTTCCTAGAGGAGAAGATTCTTGGTGTACCCCCAGTGTTTCTCTTGTGGAGACGATTCTTACTGTACCCCCAGTGTTTCTCTAGCAGAGAAGATTCCTAGTGTACCCCCAGTGATTTTCTAGTGGAGAAGATTCCTAGTGTCCCCCAATGTTTCATAGCAGAGAATATCCCTAGCAATATCCCCAGTGTTCCTCTAGTGGAGAAGATTCCTAGAGTACCCCCAGGATTTTAGTGGAGAAGATTCCTAGTGTGTCTCTAGTGGAGAACATACCTAGTGCTCCACAATATTTCCTAGAGGAGAAGATTCTTGGTGTATCCCCAGTGTTTCTCTAGTGGAGATGATTCTTACTGTACTCTGTGTTTCTCTAGCAGAGAATATTCCTAGTGCACCCCCAGTGTTTCTCTAGTGGAGAACATTCCTAGTGTCCCCTAATGTTTCCTGCTCGAGAACATTCTTAGTGTACCCCCAGCACTTCCTTGCATCCCTGATTTTTCCAAGAAGAGTCTGAATGAGCCTGAGGGTCTCTGACTATTTGAGAGACTCCTAGTGACCCTGAAATTCTTAGTGTTCCTGTAGCTGGACCCCGCTTGTGTGATCCCTGTATGCCCAGTGTCTTCCAGACTGTCCCCAATGACTTTCGGTGTATGTCCGCATGCAACCTGTATGCTTGCATGGTTTTTGTCCTTTGAGCATTCCAATGTCCTTTTGCCTAGTGTGACATTGTCAGTTTTCATTCTTCCATCACCTCTGTGTTCTCCTAGAGTTTCAGCCTGCCTTTCATTAGCAGCATCTATGTCTGTAGTCTGCTTCAGCATCTCCCTGTGTATTCCTAGTTTGTTTTTCAGCCGAGTGTCCCCATTCACTTTTGTCTGCTCTTAGCCCGGGTTCACACTTGTGCAGTGCGGAATATCGCATGTGATTCGCACAGGAACCGCACTGCATTCCTGTACAAATCACATGCGAATTCTATGTGGTGCGATTTGAGCCATACATTTTGTATGGCTCAAATCGCATCCACACCAAAAAGGTGCAGGACCCTTTTTTTGTTCTGCACTAGAATCAGATCGCATGGGTGATGACACCTATGCGATACGATTCTGCACATCGCACCGCGTTTTGCAGACTGATTTCGAGGTGTTGTTAACTTAACATAAGCACCCGCAGCAGTTCGCATGAATGGGGTGCGATTGTGATGCGATGCGGAATTTTGCACAGGAACCCTTGCAAATTCTGCACCGCATCAGTGTGAACCCGGGCTTACTGTTTCCTGTTAATCTCTGTGCATTGCTACTCACTCCTAGTTGTCCTGTGTGTCTCTATGCACTATTACCCATTCCCAGTGTCTGTGTGTTTCCATGCACACCTGCCAGCATGTGCTGTATACCAAATTGATCTGTGATTCCTGCACCTCAGGGTTGCAAGGGTCTCTGACATGCTTTACCAGCCCTAAGTGCCCAGTAGCTGCCTTCAGGTAAGTCAGAGAACCACAACCTGGAAATCATCTGCAGCACAACCCATCTCCATCTTCAGGAGCTCTGAAGACTAGGCTGTTCCTTAGACTCTGTCTCTGCTCTTGTAAGGGCCCCCACTTTTTCTGTACATGTGGGCAGGCTGGATTACCCCAATTAGAACCAATAGGTGTCCATCCTGTCCTAGACTCCTTGTGTACCTCAACTATATCTTGTGTACCTAAATTCCCTGAGACCCTTGTACACATCCATGTATCTTATACATACTCTTACCCCTGTGTTCCTGTATGCTCAGCATCCCACTGCTGTACAATACTCCAGTCTCCCTGTGAGTCCTGCACCCAGGGCTTTTAGAGTGTTTTGCTAGTATTCTGTTCCATGCCTGCCTGTAAGACCAGCACCACACTGCTGGAATATATTCCAGCCATTCCTGTGAATCCTGCGTTCTATGCTTTCCCAGATTCTCATCTCCTGTACTAGATCAGCTGTAGACTGCATGGGTGCTCTTTCCAAGCCAGGGGCGGACTGACAACCCATGGGGCCCCCGGGCAATAGGGGATCATAGGGCCCCTGTGTCCTTGCCCACACTCAAAAAAGCCTATAAATAAGGTACCAGGGGCATGTCATGGGGCCCCCTACTGACCCCAGGCCCTCGGGCAGTGCCCGAGTTTCCAAATGGTCAGTCCGCCCCTGCTCCAAGCACACCTCCATCCAGCAAGCAGGCTACACCTCTGTCTACAATGCCAACCATATGTGACAGTCCCCATCTATGGCTGGCATAGATGGTATGATTACAGGGCTGGGACAAGGGGTGGGCAGGAGGGACAGTTGCCCTGAGCACAGAGGAACCAGGGGGGCAGAGATTGGACACATGGCAGTAAATCCATTCTATTACAAGCATTAACAGTTGGGAAGGGGTGCAGTTCCACATCCTTACCCTGGGCACTAGATGAACTTGTCCTGGTACTGTATGATTTTTACATTCAGTGGTCAAGTCATGCTGGGAGTTGTAGTGATATATGATTGTGTAGAGTTTAATGGGATCCAGTGGGTAAATCATTTTAATTACACATCAAATTTTTTAACAAACATGAACAGAGCTCGAGTATCTCCAGGTGCTGGCGTTGCCAACCTTCAGCTGGCAAAGAGCAATAAGCCTGTCACCCAATTCCCTACCATACAGCAGCCAGTTACCCAGCACAGCCGTGGTGCCCGCTATCTCTCCTGCCCTCCCTCTCGCTCTGTTGAAATGTATTTATGCAGAAGGAGTTGTGATAAATTTGCTCCGATCAAACCTCTTAGAGAGAAACCGCATGTAGAAATGTGATTTATATTTGCAGCAAATATTTCGCATGTAGGTTGGAATAACAGACACGACAATGAGCAGATAGTTAAATGGCTTCTCTACTAGAGCTGCCACTTGTCTAGATTGTCTGTCAGCACTCTTTTAAAGAAGAATCCCAGCCTAATCCAAAAGGAATAGGTTACTTTAAAACAGTGTTTCTCAACTCCAGTCCTCATGGACCCCCAACAGGTCATGTTTTCAGGATTTCCCTCAGATGAAACAGCTGTGGTAATTACTAAGGCAGTGAAACTGATCAAATCACCTGTGCAAAATAATGGAAATCCTGAAAACATGACCTGTTGGGGGTCCATGAGGACTGGAGTTGAGAAACACTGCTTTAAAATGTTGAAATTAAAACAAGCATATCAAGAGTCATTCCATGCAGATGTAAAGTCGAGCCTGATAGCCTGAGCCAACCACTGCTTTCTTCAGTCTCTTGTAGACCCAATGGTGAGATCACCTTTCTATAGTTATGGTGTCTTCTTGGGTTTGCACTTCACCTGCTGCCACAGGGATGTTTTCAGGTGTTCCCACTTCTCCTATCAAATTATTTGTAAAGACGATGCTTGGTATATTCTTGTAATGAGTGTGGCAGATGGAGAGACCTGGGAACACAAGAGCAGATGTTTTACCAAAATAGCTCTTCTGGTAACCACCTTTGCATCATTTGAAGGAATATGGCCTTGCAGCTACACAACAGTTACATTAAGCTATTAATGTCCCAGATCCAGTTACTTGGCAATAATGTCCCAAGCACCTTACTCTTAGGGTGTAGTTATTTTCTTCAACTTTTTAGAATGATGGGCACCAGTCACTCACTAGAGCATGGAGAAATAGAAATCAAGGTAGAGGAGGCATGTGATACTGGTAAAATCTATGCAAACACAGTCCTTAGCCTTCTGAAAGTTATTCTCACTTTTTGGGTCCTTTGACAGCTGAGGTTCAAAGGGTGTCTCAATTTTAAAGTATTGGGACACCCATCCAAATAATTGGATTTAGGTGTTATAATCACCTCCATGACCACATGTGTATAAAATCAAGCACCTAGGCATGCAGACTGCTTCTACAAACATTTGTGAAAGAATGGGTCGCTCTCAGGAGCTCAGTGAATTCAAGAGTGGTACCGTGATAGGTGGTCACCTGTGCAATAAGTCCATCTGTGACATTTCCTGGCTACTAAATATTCCATGGTCAACTGTTAGTGGGATTATAGCAAAGTGGAAGCAGCTGGCAACAACAGCAACTCAGCCACCAAGTGATAGGCCACGAAGTGGTAGGCAGAACGGGGTCAGCGCATGTTCAAGCACACAGTGCGCACAAGTTGACAACTGTCTGCAGAGTTAATAGCTAAAGACCTCCAAACTTTGTGTGGCCTTCAGATTAGCACAACAACAGTGCATAGACCGCTTCATGGAATGGTTTTCCATGGCCGAGCAGCTGCATCCAAGCCTTACATCACCAAGTGCAATACAAAGTGTCGGATGCCGTGGTATAAAGCACATCACCACTGGACTCTAGAGCAGTGGAGACATGTTCTCTGGAGTGACCAATCACACATCTTTGTCTGGCAATCCGATGGACGTGTCTGGGTTTGGTGGTTGCTAGGAGAACGGTACTTGCCTGATTACATTGTGTCTAAAGTTTGGTGGAGGGGGGATGATGTGGGGTTATTTTTCCGCGGTTGGGCTTGGCCCCTTAGTTCCAGAGAAGGGAACTCTTAAGGTGTCAACATACCAAGACATTTTGGACAATTTTATACTCCCAACTTTGTGGGAAGAGTTTGGGGATGGCTCTTTCCTGCTCCAACATGACTGAGCTCCATTGTACAAAGCAAGGTCCATAAAGACATAGATGAGCAAGTTTGGGGTGGAGGAACTTGACTGACCTGACCCCACAAATGCGCTTCTGGAAGAATGGTCAAATCTTCCCATAGACACCCTCCTAAACCTTGTGGATGACCTTCCCAGAAGAGTTGAACCTGTTATAGCTACAAAGGGTGAACCAACTCAATATTGAACCCTTCGGACTAAGACTGGGATGGCATTAAAGTTCATGTTCGTGTAAAGGCAGTCGTCCCAAAACCTTTGGCAATATAGTGTATATAATGTTGAATTCCAGGCATGGATTGTGTTGCATAATTACACTGGACCAGCTTGCATATTCCATACCTGTGAAAGCAGAGATCACTGTAGTAATCACCGCTACTACAGTGATCGCTGTGATCTTCTGGGTTCCATGCCAAGTGACTTCCCTGGTGCATGGTAACCACAGGGGGCATGACTGCCATTTAGAGAAATGCCAATATCTTCAAAGCATTCTGTAATTGGACAAGGTGGGCCTTGTCCAATCAGAGAATGCATTGCATTGATTGAGGAAAATGCAAAGTGTTCTTTGAATGGTGGCCATGCCAAGCAGGACCTGGATGACCCTAGGGATCACTTCATTAGCGGTGATTACTACAGTGATTCTCTGTTTCCACTTCGGTCCCACAGGTTTGTAATATGTATACTTACATACGTCCAGGCTGGACCAATGCAACTATGCCATATAAATCATACCTGGAGTTCAGCTTTAATAACACTAAGCCTGTTGATTGGCCAGGTGTAGAACATCCTTAATACAGAATGTTATCTGTAGCACTCCCTGCTGGTACAAGCTCAACACAGCATGTTACTAAGATAATTCACTCTGTGCTTGGAGAACACCAGTCAGCACACCGCTAGGCTGATTAAACGCTATAAGATCTTAAAAATACGTAAAAAGGAATCATGCCAGGGGCTGACTGACTATTTGGAAACTCGGGCACTGCCCGAGGGCCCTGGGTCAGTAAGGGGCCCCATGAGATGCCCCTGGTTCCTTTTTCATAGGCTTTTTTTAGTTTGGGCAAGGGCACAGGGGCCCCATGATCCCCTATTGCCCGGGGGCCACATGAGTTGTCAGTCCGCCCCTGAATCATACTACATCCCTTCGGCAATGATCATGCAGGGCAAAATAATAGGTTTCTCTTAACCACTTGCCCTCCGGAAAGGTTTTACCCCCTTCATGACCTGGGCATTTTTTGCTATTCGGCACTGTTCTACTTTAACTGGTAATTGCGTGGTCATGCAACACTGTCCACAAATTAAATTTATATTATTTTTTTTTTTCACACAAATAGAGGTTTCTTTTGGTGGTATTTGATCACCACTGGAGTTTTTATTGTTTATTATATAAATGAAAAAATACCGAAAACTTTTTAAAAAATGATATTATATACTTTGTGTTATAAAACATGACAATGCAATAAAATCAAATTTGTTCATTCTTCAATTTAGGTCAAAATGTATTCTGCTATGTCTTTGGTAAAAAAAAAATCCAAATAAGTGTATATTAATTGATTTATGCGAAAGTTATAGCGTCTACAAACTATGGTGTATATATACTGGAATTTATATGGCTATGATGCTATACTGGTAATGGCGGTGATCAGCAACTTATAGTGCGACTGTGATAGTGTGGTGGGCAATCTGGCGCTAGCGGACACTGGCTGGGAGGGACTCTAACTGACACTGACATCAACAGTGAAAGTGATCAGTGATAATACTGTACACTGTCACTGTCGGTGGTGTATTTAGGTTGTGTGCTGCCCTAGGCAACACAAAAATTGGCGCCCCCCCCCACAGAAAGAGCCTGTCATTGACCAAGAGCACCCCTGCCCTCCACTGCCACTGCTCCCCATACACCAGCCACCATCCCCCATGGCGAGAGAGAGAATGACACTCACTTTCACAGCTTCGGACATCCCTAGGAACGAGTCGGCCTGTGCATACACCGTCATGAATCCCACATCATCTCTCGGAACCGACCAGGTCCCTATGCCACGTGTGTCCCTTCTTCTGTCCCTTCTTCCAAGGGGCAGTGCTGCCCCCCCCCCCCCCCGAAAAATGCCACCTTAGGCAAATGCCTTGTTTACCTTGTGGTAAATACACTCCTGGTCACTATACTAATGACACTGGCTGCCAAAGGGTTAACATCTAGATGCAATCAAAGGGTTAACTGTGTGGCTAACAATGTGTGTGATATGTGCTGCTTTTACTAATAGATGTGGCGGTTTTTTCCTCCCTGCTTTGCAGAGAGAAAAAACATCCACATTGCTGCTTAGTGTACTGAGCCCTGTGCTTCTAGTAAACACAGGGCTCTGTGCTGTGATTCTCTAAGCTGATCAACATAAATCATTGGCCAGGACCTGCTGACCGACTAGTGACTGACTGCAGTATATATATTGTGGGTGGTCCTTTTTAGGTAAAAACTAAAGGCAAAACTTGTTTTTCATTTTGGATAGAATAGGAGAGGGGTTATAATCCCTGCCTTTTTGGGAAGATTTCCCTTTTCTTCCTGCCCTATAGCCAACAGGAAGAAATCTCTCCAAAGTGAGGGAATCACTGGTAGTGTCCCTATTGGAATATTCCCCCTCTATTCCTGTTCTGGTGACAACCAAATTTGGATTTGGGAAAAATACAGAGGGTGACTTTTACTAAAGGGGGAAAAGACAACAATTGAAACCTGGCAGGTGATCTAATCTGTCCCCACTCTATCTAAAGCAAAAAAAAAAAAAAGTATTGCCATTAGTATGTTTATGTATGTTATATCTGTATTTTAACAAAGGCAGAGTCGCCCTTTAAAGTTACAGAGGGATTTGTAGTATGTGTGTCTACCAGTGTGTGATTGAAAACAATAACCTCCCCTGCAGCCTCCAATAATGTGCAACCCCCATAATTCTCTGGTAGCACAGTGGCTATGGGCAGCACAGTGGCTAAATGGTTAGCACTACTGCCTAGCAGTCCTGGGGTTGTTGGTTCGAATCCAAGGCACCACCTACCTGGAGTTTGCATGTTCTCCCTGTGCCTGCATGGGTTTACTCCAGTTTCCTCGCACACTCCAAAGACATGCCGGTAGGTGAATTGGCTCCTGTCTAAATTGGCCCAATATGTGTAAATATGAAAGTAAGTTAGGGACCTTAGATTGTACTCCCCTTGAGGGTTAGGGACTGATGTGAATGTACAATATATATGTAAAGCGCTGCGTAAATTCATGGTGCTATATAAGAACCTGAAATAAATAATACAAAAAATAAAAGTACCTATTTCACCAGAGGGTAAAGAAAAGCCCTATTTCTATATATACGCCATAAATAAATATTATATACTTGTTTCTATTTGCCTAATCCATATGCAGACACCGTGTCTCCCTTGGTAGTGCTGTATAGTGCTTGTGCCATGCCAATCCTCTCATCTGACTGAAGTCAACCAATCGCCTCCCTGCAGTCCCCAATGAGGTGAAGCATCCACAATGCTCCTGATAACCAGAGACAATGCTTGTTCCCTTAGCCTAGGCTTTAAGTGCAGCCAAAAAAATGACAATTTTGTTAGTCCTATAAAGAAGGAGATATTTTTTACTAAACATAATCGTGATTTAGCACGGGTGACATGTGTCCTACTGATTTACATAAAGTGTGATTTTTTTTTTCTTTTTAATGATAGGTCCATCTCAATTACCTTTGCTGCTTACTTGCTTCCACTCTTGCTTTTGGCCTTCAGAATATAGAGTATTCCTATATACTAATAACTGTGAGACAAGGAAAGATAAATCAGATGGACTTCTCATTCTAATAGTGGTGAGTAGAAGGATATTACAGCGCCACCCAGTGTCTCTCTTCAGTATTGCTGCCCAGAACAAGTTAACAGCCAGAGGATTGCTGTGGGTCACAGGTCATAAGAGGACATAAGGTCGGGTCCTGTGACACCGGTGGAGAAGAGATGACTCTATTGCGGCAGCCACTCTCTGCCAGTTGCCCAATCCATCTCACTCTGGGTGCTCACTGTCTGCTTGGTTTAACCTTTAGCATTGTCTATTTATCTTTATTACCCCCTCCTATCCCCCCTTCACCATGTCTGCCTCTGCTCTCTCCCTCTCATTCAGATGGCTTTTTCCAATTTTTGTTCCATATTGATCCATCCTTTCAGTGTGGCGTACTCTACTCCTACTCATGCCTTGGTCGTCTCGTTTTTATCTTGGGTGTAATTGGTGACCTAGGCTTTGTTCATGGGACATTAGAAGCTGGTGCTGAGGGCACCTTCTGATTTTGAAGCAATGAGCGTATTGAGCTGGAGGGTAGTGTTGCCACCAACACATAGCAAAGTGTGAGGATAACATGGCACTATGGTGCCAACAACATTGAGACCATGACATTTGCTGTCTGGCTTTCATTGTAGAGGCCGTCCCACCATCTGTGTAGACCAGGGGTCTCTGGCCCACAGCTCACATTCGATCCACTGCAAGATGTAATCTGACCCACAGCTAGGGTCAGTGGCACATCCTCAATGTGAAGATGAAAGTGGTTGTAAACCCTTACATATATTCAGTGAAGTGACTGGTCTCAGGTGATACACAGACATGAAACAAATCCTCCTTCATAAGTTGTACCTGTTTATCTGCAGTCTTCTCTTCTCTACATTAGTTCAAAGTGCTGAATGTTAAAG